GGGGGGGGGGGGGGGGTCGATATGGCCATTTTTGCAAAATCTGGTCGTTCCCCAACGGTCCAATTAATTTAATAAATAAATAAATGATAAGCAACGGTAACCGGGCTCCTAACGGGCTGCAGCCCGTTAACAACCCGTTAACGAGTCACGGGCTATGCGGGTTCGGTGCACCGTTAAGCAGAACGTGTTCGTCCAAAATCCGCTCCCCTACCAACCCGTCCCAACCCGCACAATAAGGAACAGTACCGGGCTGAACCGGATTGAAAACGGGTCAGCCCGGCCCGATTAACACCCATAGTCTCCACTCCAAACTGTTTTTTTTCCTTTTTCTCTCCCTATAAATAGAAACAAAATTTTGTTTTAGATCCATGTGGTATTTAATGTCCAAAATTGCGAGTTCACTAAAGAGTAATTGATAAGTATTAAATATTACTCCATAAATTACTATTAACGATTAAAATTAATTTTATAAAATAAAAGTATTGAAACTTATAAAAAAAGAGTTAATATGTTTAAAAAAATGTGAATAAGCCTTTTATGTTAAAATGACCTTAATTTTATTGTTCGGTTAAATATAATATTGCAGGTAAATATTTATCCGACACCCTGGCATCCAACCAAAGGTCCATAAAACCTCTTCTATAAGGTAATTTCTATAAATTATAGTATAGATTTAAGCTAGATATACTGATAGCGTAATAATTAATTTATAGTATCAAGTATAAAAAATTCAAATAATGTTGCTTACCATAATAGTATTTATTTTAGGTTATCAATGCTACTGTATAAAGCTACTGCAATTATACTTAGAGTTATTTAATTGTATAAAAAATATTTGTTACATCATAGGTGCATAAAAATTTAAACTCAAAATACTTATATTATTAAAGATTGGTTCAACGGATTGAGCCGAAATGAGTGCAGTGCAGTTATACTCCTTTGTCCACTTATTACATCCGTCACAGATCTATATATCACCGCTTTCCATATTTCACATTATTCATTTCAAAACTAAACATCCTCCTACAAAATTCATATCATCTCTACAATGATTTCCGCCTCTTTCCGCCAATCACCACCGCCAACGGCAGCCAATACGTTTTCCTCCGGCGAGAGTTCTTTTCTATCACCGTCTTGCGTCAGATTCCGGCAATACGGTTCCTTCTCCGTTGCCGCCGCGACCTGCGGTTCTGTGGCCAGGTGCGTGCCAGCTGTTTCTGCTTCTCCAGCTTCGTTTTACGAAATTCTCGAAATTCCGATGGGAGCCACGAGCGAGGAGATAAAGGCTGCGTATCGAAGATTGGCTAGAGTTTGCCATCCTGATGTTGCTGCAGTTGATCAGAAGGACACGTCAGCGGGCGAGTTCATGAAGATTCATGCTGCTTACTGCACTCTATCGGATCCTGAAAAGCGCGCGGAGTATGATCGGCGCCTTTGGAACCAAAGACGCCGGAGCGTCGGTTTATATTCCGGCTATACTTGCCGGAACTGGGAGACCGATCAGTGCTGGTAACAGTTCCGAATGCATCAAACGGGAAAGGGAAATGGCTTGATTTTTACCTTTGTTAGTACTATTAGGACCTTTTTACTACGTTGTAATTATTTATAACAGATTTTGTATAGTATGAGTGGACTCGATTACTGACATTTGATTTAATTCTCATAATTACATAGCCATCTAATGATATTTATAATTTCTTGGTAACGGATTCCAGTTGCAGTTGGGAAAGTTGAACAATTAGTGTCTAAACTGCATACATAATTTGTCACACGCTTTAAGGTAACGAAAGGGACAGTTAATTTTGTCATCAAGGCTTCTTTTGGCTTAATTGATTACCCGGAATAGCAAAAATAATCTTTGAGTTCTAATATTTGTGACAACAACAACAACCCAGTGTAATCCCACAAGTGGGGTCTGGGGAGGGTAATATGTACGCAGTTCTAATATTTGTGACAACAACAACAACCCAGTGTAATCCCACAAGTGGGGTCTGGGGAGGGTAATATGTACGCAGACCTTACCTCTACCCGAAAGGCAGAGAGACTGTTTCCAGTAGACCCTCTACCGGTGTAATATGTACGCAGTTCTAATATTTGTGAGGCACATGATAAAAGGAGCTGTCAGTACTATTGATAAAAGGATGGACGACAATGTTTATATCGGTTCAGTGTACGTTGACTGCAAAAAGTTCGACATGGATAAACTGAGATTTGCTTGTAGGCATCTCATTAGCAAACACATGTTTGATTAGTTTCATAGTTAACTTATACTTTAATTTATTGCACAAAAGGAAATTTCACTCAACTTTGTTAAGTATAAAGTCACTAAGCAATTTTTTTTAATAAAAAAAGTCACTCAACTTTTTCTAACAGAAAATCAAGAAAAGGAAACAAAACAAACGTTTTCTATTTTCTTTATGAAAAAAGAAATATTTTCCATTATGTTTAGGCAAATTTGAATGACATTGAATCACTGAAATCACTTTTGGCTTTCTAGGCCTAAACAAGAAAATTATTATTTACCTTTCACAGGGAGCAATATACCGACGACATCGACAAAAGAACAAGGTCAACTAAGTGATCAACCTAGCGACAAGTATCATATACCTTACTAGTTCAATTTTTCTCATCGTACTGATGCATGAATCGTCTTAGCCATACTAATATAGCACTTTTCCCCACTTGGGGGACTTATCCCGTAAACCTAGGCTTAACTTGGAATGTGTCCTTACACCAGCACGTGTAGTTCTATGGTATCGATTCGAACCGATCTTGGTGGTATCCACTAGTAACTCCTAAAATATTTGATATTCCAAAAATAGATTCATAACCTAATAACCTCAAATGATCTTCTTTTATCAAATCATAACTCATGGTCAAACTAAACCATTTGAATAAAATCAAACACATAATTTTTTCATGGTAAAACATTTAGCAATTTAACATCCATCTTTTAAAGATATAACAAATGATATCCATAAATTTAGTTTCAAAATAAATACTTTTCATGAAAACATCTCTTTAGCACTCAAATATTTTATATTCTTATCAATACATAATTTTTAATGAAACTTATAACATTTACCTCAAGTGGCATTCACCAAATCTTTGAAAATAAGATTTTCCTTTTATAAAATAACAAGATCTTTTATATGCAACACAACTCAAAATACATGGTGACACCCTTTTCCGCTTGTTGCAACAAGTGCAGATGCACATTTACAAATAAGCTTACGTATTAACTCAAAGCATGATGTTAAGCAAATCTCTCAAAAAGAGTAATTTTTAATCAACTTATACCTCACTTTCACTTTGATATCAATTATCTATTTCTTATTCGCTTACGGTATTTCAACATCTATAAATATGCTAAAACTTCATCAACAACTTGATATCTATAGTTAAATATTCTCACTACATTAAAACACATCCAAAAATATTATCAATATCCATTTAGGACTCACAAGTTGGTTACAAACCCATAACCATCCTAATCGTCAATTAGGTTCACCCATTGGCTTATTAAATTATATTCTTATAAAGTAGTACTCATTTAGAGTCATTAACTATACTACATTAATTATCGAACATCAGTAAGTCGCTATTTATTATCTTTCCCAATGAAACCTTAGTCCACAAATATTTATTTCAAGAACTAGTGTTATTTCTTAATCAAATGGTGATTTTTACTTGGACTTGTTTATCATTTAAGTTATTGTAACGACCTGACCGATTGTTTTGAGTGTTTTCACTAAGTCCGGTAGTTTGAGGTCCTGAGTAGCTTTGTATGGTATAATATGAATTTCGCGTATCATCAATTTCGGTTTTCGAGTGGTTCATAATTGATCTAGAAGGATGATTCTCACTTGAGATGCTTGAAGTTGAAAGAGTTGATTAAGTTTGATTTTTGGTGTATTTGACCTCAGATCAGAGTTTTGATGGTTCTGATAGGTCCGGATGATAATTTTAGACTTGAGAGTATACCCGGATTTTCATCTGGATGTTTCTAGAAAGATTCGACACTATTTACCTAAAGGTCGAAATTTGAAGGTTTAGAATGTTCATAAATTTGATTGCAAGATGACTTTGATGATATTATGTTCGGATTTTAGTTCTGGGAGATGGAATAGTTTCGTTATATTATTTGAAACTTGTGTGCAAAATTTAAGGTCATTCCGAGTTGATTTGACATGGTTGCACGAGTTTTGGAAGTTGAATGTTCAAAAGTATATTAAGTTTGATTTGAGGTGCGATTCATGATTTTATTGTTGTTACATATGATTTGAGGCCCCGAGTAGATCCGTATTATATTTTGGGACTTGTTGGTATATTCAGGCGGGGTCCCGAGGGGTTCGAGTGAGTTTCGGGGTAGTTTCGTATCATTACGGATTGGCTTGGAGTTGTTGGTCTCTGCTGTTTACTGATGTCTCTGTTGTTCTTCGCAATTGCGAAGATGTGGTGGCGATCGCGAAGATGTGGTTGCGATCGCGTAGTGATTCATGGAACTAGGGGATTTTCTTAATCGCGTTCGCGTTGCGTCGAACGCAATTGAGGAGAGTTGGAGCTAGTCTTTTTCGCGTTCGCTCATGTGGAATCGTAGTCGCGTAGTGTTGAGCTAGAAGCTGGAGGCCTTCTTCATCGTGTTTTCATAGAGAGAGTCGCATTCGCGAAGTTCTGTGTCATCTATGAGTCGCGTTTGCGTGGAGTGTGTCGCGAATGCGAAGAGTAATTTGAGGGCAGTGGATTTTATGCTTCGTGATCGCGAAGCTGGTTCCGCGATCTCGAAGAGTTCACCTGGGCAGTGTTTATAAGGTACTCTCTTTCGAAGGTCTTTGTTATTTTATTATATTTTGAGTTGTGGAGCTCGAATTTGGGTAACTTTTACCACACGAATTGGGGTAAGTATATTTGACATGGTTTTGATTATATTCCATGATTCGATCTTCGATTTTGGCATTTTATTAATTTTATAAAAAGAGAAATTGAGGGGTTTTGTCTAAACTTCCCTAAAGTGAAAATTTGAGTTTTGGACATCGATTCGGAGTTGGAATTGAGTAAAATTAGTATGGTGGACTCGTAACCGAATGGGTTGTCAGAATTTATGAGTTTTGTAGGGTTCCGAGGTGCGGGCCTAGGTTTGACGTTTTGGTTGACTTTAAGTATTTGATCAAAGATTCGACCTTAATCGTTTGGGTTTTCTTCCTACGACATTATTTGATTGTTTTGAGTTGCTTTTGGCTAGTTTTGAGTCGTTCAGATGTCGATTTGAGTGGGATGGCGCTTCTAGTGTATCGATTTTGCTTGTTTGAGGTAAATGTCTTGTCTAACTTTGTTGTGGAAATTTTTTTCTATTATTGATATTGTTTGCTACATACATGGGTAATGTATATATGAGGTGACGAGCGGATATGTAAGTTCCAAGGTTAATCATGCTTGGGGGTAGATTATACGATTATTTGTGCCTTGTTGGAGTATGTGACCTTCTTGCTTTATGTTTTACTTGACTTCTAGATTAATATTAATATGAAATTAAATGCTAGAACTCATGATTTAGCTTATTATAACTTGATTAAAATTCGATGAACTTTTTGTGAAACTATTGATGTGCTAAATTCAGGTCATCACTACACTTCATCACAAATACATCGCTATGACCGTTATTCTTAAGATATTTGGATTCTATACTTGAGTTGAAGATCGCTTTGAAATTTGCTGAGAAACTTTAAGTTCTTGATGTTTATTGAATTTTTATTGGCTTGAAAGTTGTGATTGATGTTCATTTGGAATATTCGCTTAATCACTCTCTTTGATGTTATTCATGCTTCCTATCTTGTTTATTATTAATATACATGTGCTTGGTGAGGAAGAGCGTAAAACACGAAGGGTGATGCCATACCATTGCATATACATTATCGTGCGAGGAAGAGGGTAAAGCACGAAGAGTGATGCCGTGCCATTACATATATATTATCATGTGAAGAAGAGAGTAAAATACAAGGGGTGATATCGTGCCATTTCATATACATTATCGTGTAAGGAGGAGAGTAAAACACAAAAGGTGATGCCGGGTCATTTCATTTACATTATTATGTGAGGACAAGTCGTACCATTATTTTTAGATTATCATGTATTCATGGCACGAAGGGTATTTCCGTGCAGGCAAGGACGAGAGATATGCATTATACTATGATATCTTTCCTTGTGTATACAATTGTGCTCTTGAGTCGATACTGTTGTACTTATATTTTATATGTGACTTGTCGTTGTTGCTTTGTATTTGTCTTCTACTTTTATTGTTGTTGTATTATCCATGCCTTCTATTTGTTTAGTTTATAAAGATCATGTTTTCCTTCTTGTTTGTTACATCTACATCTATGTCATTTCTCATTTCTTGCACTTTTGTATAAGCCTTCTACCATATTATTTATCCAAGCCTTCTATTCGTTTAGCTTATAAAGATCAGGTTTTCCTTCTTGGTTGTTATATCTACACCTATGCTATTTTTTATTTGTTGCACTTTCGTATAAGCCTTCTACCATGTTAGTTAGTAAAAGTTATGTTCTCTTATTTTAATTGCTATCATTACCTTTATGCTTCCCACTTATTCTGTTACCGTTATTCATATGCACTGCCTTGTTTGTTATTGCTGCTGTGTACTTCCCACTTTGTTGTTACAATTGTTGACAT